GACAGAGAGAGAGAGAGAGAGAGAGAGAGAGAGAGAGAGAGAGAGAGAGAGAGAGAGAGAGAGAGAGGAAGGGAGGGAGGGAATGTGCCCCCAGTTTGTGGGGAGTTGCATATTTTTTTGTGAACTCAGGAGTTGAAGTAGTGTGTGGCTGGTTGGCACCGTTCTGTCTTCCTCGGCATTTGCCGTTCCTCTGGCAGGTGAAGTGCTGGGCCCGAAGCCATTGCATCAATGACCCCAAGATGGGCACACTTAACTCATATGCGCTTTCCCAGTTGGTCATTTTTCATCTCCAGGTGGGTATGCAATTCAATTCTCGCAGCCTGTGTCACGACATGTTCATGTTTTTAAAGTCTTCGGCCATCACAGGCACACAGTAAAATAATGGCACAAAATTGTCAAACGAATCTTATCCAGGCCCAATCTGACTCGCGTCTTGCAGGCCCTTTACTGGTATAGTGAAGTGGGACAATGCAGGTGTCCAGAATGAAATATATTGTTGTCGATCAATGGTATTCAATATCAATTATTATTATCAACACAGTTTCCTATAACTGCAGGCACCTTGCTGCGCATTGAGTTTTGTTTTATCGCGTGCGGTGTGGGCCTTTAGGTCTTCGATCGGGCAGCAGGAATTCAAGCTTTGTGTGTGCTTCCCAGCCTTTGTCATGGCATTCAGATCAGCGACGTGTGTCCCTTGTTGCTGGGAGCCGTTGATAAATCGTTATCAAACTCTTTGCCCTTCATCTGCAGCAATCCTCACTTGGATGCGTTGATGAATGACAATCGAAGTGCAAGTCGGCAATTGGTGGCGATCTTTTCAATTGCAGCCATTCATCTGTTGCTAGCGTCCTATCAAATGGGCAGTTCTTTAAGCACGGTGTTGTTTGTTGCCTTCCCAGTTTGGGCATGCCGGATTGCGTTGCTGTTCTCCTTTTTCTTAGTGGTTGTCTCTTTCCAGGATCCAGAAGCGGGTTCAGACCCCAGGTGTTTTTTTTTTGTTTCTTACCGCGCCGTGTCTGGCATGCGCTTGAGCTGCAGCTTTTTTTTTTGTGTGCGTTGTGGTCGTTTTCCTTTCTTGCGTGTGGGCAGCCACTTTGGCCAGCACTTGGGCGGCGGCTTTTCGTTGTGTTGTTACATCCTGGGCACGTTTTGTTTGGCCGGGGCTTGGGTGGTGGCAAGGGCCACAAAAGACCCACACGAAAAGCCCCTCTGGCGGCGGGCAGGGCCTAATAGCATCGCCGCACAGGGCCAAGAAAAGGAGCGCCGCACACCCCTTTGCAGCTGCGTACACCCACATGCACACGCACACCACCTCCTGATGAGTCCGTGACAGTCCGAGGAAACGGTCTGGCACAGTCATGCTTCTTTTGTGGAGTTTTGTACAGCAAACATGACAACACAACACGCGTTTTTTTGTTGGGGTCCAGGTTCAAACCCAGTTGTCAGAGGTGGGGTTTGAACCCAGGCCAGATAAGATAACCACTGTGGTAGACCGGCTCCCTGTCTCAATTCGCGGAGCCCTTAACCCTCTCGGGGCCCTATGCTTTTAAGCGCCTCCTGGAGTTCCTTTTTTATTCCCTTAATCCGAGGTTAATCGTGAGGTGTTAAAGGGGGGGGGGGAAAAGGAAAAAAAAAAGAGGGGTTCTTTATTGGAAAGGGAGGTGACGGGAAAAAAAAGCAATTGCAATGCAAAAGAAAAGAAAAGTAAATGCTGGTCATTGCGAATTGTGTTTTTCAAGAAACAAAGACCTTGGCTATCAATGGTGTGTAAAACAGTAAAAGTACTAAATAGTAAATAGTAAATCGTAAAAACCCTGGGTTAGGCCAATGCCCGGTCCAAACGGACTGAGGGGGGACCGTCTGGCAAAACCAGAAGAGCCAAAAAACGTCCCAGAATTTTTTTTTTTTTTTTTTTTGAAGATGGGGTTGGAGTG